TTATTGACTCCATTAACAAAATCATTTAGGTTAGAGTGTCTAAGCAATTTACTACTATGTGTCAGAAACTCTGATATATATAGATATCTATCTAATGATATATCTACCTGATGACACTATTAACAAGATCATACAGATTAAAGTGTGTCTGAACTATTCATCAAAGTAGACGGTTCCAGCAATTTTTTAGTTCCGCTGAAAGGAATTTAAGAGACGTTTTAATTATGATAAGAAGAAAAGGAGTTTCATAATAAAAATTTTCTAGATTGCTGTGTTTTCCCAATGTCAGTCAATTGAAACCCATTCATAAACTTTGATTTAGATATTAATCTCAATGGAATTTTAACAACATTTTCAACTGTCTAATTACTTAATTTTAAATTTGGGTAATTAATCAGCTTAATGAAATCCTTTATAACATATTGAATGGAATGGAATAAGAAACTTTGTCAGCAATATTTTTTGTTGTCTTGTTCTAGAATAAAATTTGATATATTGTTAAATATTTCCACTTTTTTTGCTGATCAATCGAAATTAAAACCAAAAATTTATTACAAAATTTCATACACATATACTCTTATTCAGAATTTTCCCAGCCTTTTGTTAAATTTTTCATAAGTAATCTAATTAAACCTTATAAAAGTATCAAGAATAAACAGAATGTCATCGGCAATGGCACACTTGTAAGGTTTTTGACTTCTTGAATTACAGTTTTAAGCAAAATCGTACATTTCACAACTAAATTAGTGCCAAATTATTTACAAAAAACAAAAAAAAACGAACAGAAAAAACAAACTCGAACGGAAATTTCTGCTTCCCATCAATTACGTTCAGAAAATTAACAAACAAAATGTATGCATAGGAAACACCACAACAAAATGTTGCAGCAACCAAGCGACTTGTTGTTGCCAAATTTACATATGCAAATACGGCCTGTTGCGCATGCGCAGAGATGCAAATCATGCTTCATCCTCATATCTGCTGCAGGTGGCGCGTAAAAATCTGCTAAAATAGGTTTTAAAATAAAACCATTTGAAAAGAATTGGTTTTTATTTAAAACAACGTTCGCTGCCAACCAAATTTGGCAAAGCTTTAGTTTGAAAAAAATCAAACTCACAACAAAAAGCGTAAAGAAAAATAATAAAAAATTTTGCTTTTTATTGTAATTAAATCTTTTTGTTTAACTATTATTTAATGTAAATTTCACTTAAACAAAAATGTTAAAAAAATATAAAAAAAATAATAGTTTTTATTATTAAAAATAGTTTTTAGTGAAGATTTGTACGCAAAATTTGCTGACACCTTCTCTGTGGCTGTGGTTGTGCGGAGGATGGCATAAAAAACTCAACCGAGCGTATCAATAACTGCGGTCACTGGCTTTTGTTTATAATTTTAATTACACTACTTTTTTTTATTGTTAATTAAACTTTTTTTCGTTTATGAATTTTAAGAGAAAAAAATCTAAAAGCATAATATTATAGTTATTTATATATTTAAGTTACCATTAAATTTTTATTTTTTTAATTTTAGTATATGTTTTAAATTTTATTTGTCATATTATAATATTTTGTTTACGCGTTTTTAATGCTTAATTTTTTTTTATTTAAATATGTTTTTTATTATTAATATAACTCCTTGTTGCAACGCACTCTTGAACTACAGAACTTAACACGTGCGCACACACGAAGCGCTGCGGTTAGACTAAAGCTTATGCTGCATAAAAATAATGTTTGTGATATGAAACAGAAACAAATTGAAAATGAAACAAAGCTAAATACTTTGTTTTGGTTAAAGCACGTTACTAACAATGTTTTGTTTAGTTTTGTTTGTTAGCATTTCTTTAAAGCTACACCTAAAATGTTAACATTATTAATTTATGAGAACACGTACTCGTAAGAGTTCAAAAATTTTAAAAGAAATTGTTTGCTTTAGTGATATATTGAGGTATATGTGATTGTGTGATATATTGTGAAATTATATTTAATTGTTTGGTTTTTAAAAATTGTTAAAAACTAAAAATCGTTTTTAATTTTCGTTAAAAAGCAATACACGACCTAATGTCCAAAATACATCAAAAAATTTTCATGCACTTAAACTCTGAGATTATAGTGTACTGTTTTGCAAATACTATTCAAAATTTTAAGTGTATTAAATAGAGATTTTTTTAAAAAGGGAGTGAATTTTATAACAATCCTTTGCGGAAGTTGTATTGAGTGTATTTTGATGTTTAGAAATAGTCGTAAGAACATCACGGATAAGCTACATTATCAACCATAATCGGTGATTAACGCAGATTCTTTAAAAAATTTGATAGCATGCATTAAAGATGCATCAAAGATCATCCAAAATATTCATGAAAATTAATGGTAGTGGAATCGTGCATTTGAAATATATCAACTGTTTCAATAAAAGTAAAATGGTTGGTTTGAGCTATTAAAAAATATAATCACAATTTCTCATGTATAATTTGAATGACGACTAAAAATTACTCTAATCGTTTGGCTAAAAATTATTTTATGCAACTACACTATATGGGAAGTAGTTGTAATTTTACGATTTTTACGTTTTTTGGAAAAAAAAAGTGTGTCGATAAACGAGTCTACTTGAAAGATTGACATATGGTATATTAAAAACGTAATCAAATTATACTATTTCAAATTTTAATTTTTTTTTTTGTGGAATATTTCCAGAACAAGAATCTGGGTAGAAATAGTTGAGATTTTGTAGAGTACCAAGTATAATCAAGCATTTAACATACAAGTATTTCTCAAAAAAAAAAACTGATATTTCACATATATGGATATTCAGATGCAGGAAATATATTTATTCTTTCTAATGTATTAATAAATAAATTGCTTTTATTCTGCAAACCTGAATATATGTCAAATATGCTGGTTTTTTAGCAAAGGTTTTTTACAGGTCCATGAAACTGTTTACATAGAACAAATAAAGTAAGCGTAAAATGTGGAAAAGGGAAAATAAGTTATAGACAAATTAATTGAATTGAGTGGGGCATTTCTGTTAGTGTTCATAACATACTGCTCAAACCATATCACTTGCAGGTTAACTTAAAAAAATGATTTTTAAACACACATGGACAATGAAGAAGATCTATTAAGTAGTGCGAAATATTTATAATAAAATGTTTTGTTTATTTTATAATAAACAAAAATTTTACCAATATGAAATATTGTTTAAACAATTTAAACAATGAAATAATAAACCATGAACTAATAATAACGACTTTAAGCCAGGTTAAATTTTATTATATATGCAATATTAACTTATAAACTTATAAAGAAACACACTTACAGTCAATATCGCTTTACAATCTACTCAGTCCATTTGTTTATTAAGCGCAAAAACCAATCAAAACCATTTAAGATAAAAGTGAACTATTTCAAATCCGGTTACTTATTAATTTTATATAAAAACGATCTGATGGTCTAAATCACCAACCGTAGTTTTTTCGACTACGGTTTGTGTTATCTTTTGTTCGGGTTTACATCGTCGCTAATATGAAATGCAGCCTAAAGTGTGACGTAAAGCAGATTTATTACAAAAATTTTGTGTTAACATATCTCAACCATAAAACTTCGAAGTCGAAGTTCGGTTGTGACGATTCTCGTTTCATTTCTTTCAAATTTTCTACAAGAAATTCTTTAACAACGAAACTTGAGAATTTATTTTTGTTTGTTTTGTGTTTTCATTTGTATTTGTCTTGATTTTAAGATGTATGAGTTCTTGTGTTTGTTGTACCTTTGCTTGGTACGAGCATAAAAAATAATAAACAAAACAAAAAAAAAATAAATAAAATGTAAAAATATTTATTGATTGATTCATGTTTGTTTGTGTGTTGCGTGCTAAGCGGCAAGCAATTCAGCTTAAAGCCACAAACGCTGCTGACTCATGCGTTTTGATGGTATAAAGTAAGCGATAATGCGGTACTACGCCACAAGGTCAAAATCTCTTGTCTTTCTAGTGACTAGAAAAAAAGGCAAATACGTATTGACTTTTATTTTAATTCAATGTCGTCAGTTGATTTATTCACATTAAATCTCCAATGGTTTTGTTAAATCCATAAAAGGCTTTTGTAGTATTTTTGGTTTTGTTTTAAAATTATTTAAAAATTATTTAAAAAATATTTTAAAATTTATATAAATGCTCTATAACGTCTTCAAAACGAAGTATTCGTTCAGGGCACAAAGTATTTTTATTGAATTACGAGTACCATTTTCTTAGAGATATAGTACAATGTTACTTTAACATTTGAAGTCATAGTTTTATTCAACGATATAGAGAGGCTTCGAATAGCATTGAATTGCAACAACAAAATTTTTATTTAATTTTAATTAATTGAATTTTTGGTTGAGCATTATAGTTCCTATTAGATAAAATAGTCACAAACTTTATAACTGACGTTAAAATCAAGTTTATTACGACGATCTATAAATAATTTTTTTAAAGAGAAAATTCTTAGCGCGAAATATAGCTCTTAAGTTAATAATAATGATAATCTTAATAATTAATTAATAGTATGAATTAGATAAAGATTTATGTGATATCAAAAAAGTACTCAATATTGTTGACAAGGATTTAACCATGCAAGATAACATGAATTGACCTATAAATTTGACTTCAATGCAATTATGGAACAAACTTCTTCACTTCACTCATACAAACAAACGATGCTCAACTTGACTAATTTGCTAAATAAACAAAAGTTAAAACAAAAACATCGAAAACAGGGTGTTACTTTCTCTGACAACAAAAGAAGGAGCACCAAACAAATATAAAAAAAAAAGCAAAAGTTCTATTAATTAACAGTTTAAGTTAATAATTGTTAACTGATTAAGTATTATACACATTTAAGAACTTTAAATTATTGTAAAAAATAAAGTTATTTTTGGTGGAAATATTGTAATAAATGCTAAAATTTATAAAACTTTAATAAATCAAATTTATCACTTATCAAAGATATAACCTAATAACCTATTAAAAATATACTAGTAATATAATCTAATAGAAATAATTCGAATGGATATCGAAAAGACAAATCAAAAGAAGCTAACGTTTTATATAGACAATTCACTCACTGAAGAAGGAGTCGAAGCATAAAAATACATTGACCGGGGTTGAAATACCTAGAAGCCATAGACAAAAATGTAACTATCTATATTTTATATATTTATATATTATTATATACTGAAGAAGGAGCCAAAACATAAAAATACATTGACCGGGGTTGAAATATCTGGAAGCCATAGACAAAAATATATCTATATAACTATCTTTCAAGCAGAAATTTATGTGATAGATAGGTGTAGATACTTTAAACGAGAACGTAACTATTAGAACAATAAAATAGCTCTTATAATTGATAGCTAGCCTGAAATAAAGCACTAAATCTCACCAGGTGACATCAAGACTTGTGAAGTATCTTGAATAGCTCTAAATATCCTTGCCAAATCAATCAGATATGTATCCTGTGGACTCAAGGCCCTGCAGGAATTTCGTTCCAGAACGTTGAAGACAAAATATTTCAGGAAAAGTGCAGCCACGAAAATTGAAGACCCAGAACCGTACTGTTGCTTGGAAAACAGTAATTTCTCCTTTTCTACTTTGAAAGAAGAGGAGAAATAAAGAAATATATACTGTAATATTCTACCAAGGTTATCATAATTAAAATCCTTTACAGAGACTTTCAACCTAAAACTAAAGAATTATATGCAACTAAGTAAAAATACTTAAAGAATCATTGCAGAAGTTTTGACAGGGCACTGTAGATTGAACTATTACTTTATAAAACTATAAACTTATACTAATAAAATTTGTAGGTTTTATAGGGAAGAGAATTATACCTCAAAAAATGAGCTGGTAGTTAGCCCGACACTGCTGCACAAATGAAAGAGCTACCTATTTGAGCATTTCAGATCGGATGAAGGAATAAATTTTTGTAAAGTAAGTTTAATATAAAAATTTATTGAGAAAGTTGGAAGTAGAGAAGAGATGCTCATATTCTAATTATATTCTAAGACCTTGATCTCATGTTATGAATAGAGAACTTTTTACTAAGATTATTTCAATAGTTCTGTTTGTTTTATTAGAATGATATTGCATTGACTTACAGATAAAGATAACTTATAATCTACGATATATTTCTTTTTTTATTTGTTTTTACGATATATTTTATTTAATTTACTGAAATGCCGCACATATTATTTTCATCATATATTAAAGATATTACGAGTACAGTATTTCATGGGAAACTGGGTACATACACCACTGACCATTACTCATAAAAGTATCTACATTTGAATTTATCTAATATAAGGTTTCTAATAATTGTTTTCATCACATCTTGAGTATACTCCTATACATCTGATTTACGACTGAATTTCTCATACCACTTTTACTTAAGTTAAGTGCGTTCATAAATTTTGTTTTAATCTTTTAAGTTTTAATAAATCAAATCTTAAGTCTCTAACTATTGTGGCGAGAAAGTAATTTATGGAGTAATATGACACATACTTTTAAATTAAATTAATTTATCAGATTTTTGAAAAAGACTAAAATACTTTTTGCTATTAAAGGAATATTAAAACATTATTTTAGGACTTATTTTCACTTTTTATTTATTAAAAACTATGTATATATTTTCTCACTAAACTGCATATATATGAGATCACTTTGAACATAATGTTTTTAGGTTGTTTAAGAGAATTGTTGTTAAAAAATTTGAGAACACTTATTAGAATGAAGCAATATCATATCAGGCTAGGTAAAACTGATAGTTGCTTCCACAAGCTTTAAAACGGTATCGTCTTGAAACCAATCATCGTCGATGATCAAGTATCGCATGTAGCACCTGTCGGATTAAGAAGTTCCTAACAAAGGTGAACTAAGAAGATTATCCCATATGATCATAATAACCACAAGCTTAAAAATTTATCAAAGAAATGTTTATACATTTTTTTTAATAATGCTATAATTGACTTAAATCTGTTCTACGAAATTTTTATCAAAAAATGAGTATTAGAAATTTCCAAATATTTAATAATATTTAAAATGATATCTATGACATTCAGTATTTTTACTGAATTTTATACTCAATTTACACTAACACTTATCAATTCCCTTCATTAGATTTTGTATGCAGTTTGTATGAAGAATGGCACTTATTGCTGCATATTTGTCGAGGTAAGAACAATACTCTAAATATAGCTTTATACTGGATTCACACATAACCATTAATACAATTTTGATTATAATTTTAGCAGTCATTTCAAATTATTCTTGATTTCGATACCAAAACAAGCCTAAATTAAATAGATTCGTATGGCAAATTTCGACAGCTAAAGATGGATTTTTGCACTTCAAATTGATTTTATAGTACATTCACAAACTCTCATTTAGTCACTTGCTCCAATTATATTAAGAAGTGAACGTTCACACTCACTATGAGCTCATTTATGCAGCTAATAAAACTTTTATATACTTCACTTAGTAATATATCACACAAAAATATTAAATATGTAATTGATATATTAAACCATTGATATACATTTTATATAACAATTTTATATACAATTAATAAAAACAATGATTTTATTAAACGCTTACTTCCAGCTATTATTTGTTTACATTTTACATATAAAACATTTGACACATAATATTTCAAATTTTGTTAATTTCCCTTGTGGGAAATTTATTTTTAAGGGTTGTATTCGACATTTTTCGCATTAAATGAGTTGAATTATTCATAATGAGCTCATTTATAAGTTTTTAGCTAAATTAACTAAAAACTGTGGACATAATTGCAAAGTAAAGATTTTTTAAAAGTAGTTAATAAGTGTTAAAAATATATGATTAATCTGACAAACATTTTACAATAATACGTCATGAGAATGGTTATGCTTGCTTTCTGCAAATGTCAGTTTAAAATTTTTGACAGCTAAAATTACAATTAAGGTCGTGTGCGAGTTAGGCTAAGTTGCGTTCTAAGGTCGTGTGCGAGTTAGGCTAAGTTACGTTCTAAATGAGGGAAATTCTAAGTTGTGTCGATAATGTATTGATGTGTCGATACGTGTTGATAAATGGCAAAAGTGCAAAAAATCCCAAGAAATCTCAAATTTGCTTTAGCATCAACTTAAGCTAACTCGCACACGTCCTAGTTTTAGTATATATTTTTGTAGTTAATTTGTTAAAAATGGTGTCAAAAATATGGTGACAATATGTGTCGTTCCTAACTTAAAATAATAAATCTCTATAAAAATATGCTGAAGAGGTTTAATAAATCTTAATGTATTACAAACGTGATATAAATAATTATATGTAAGCAGGTGTAAAACTGTTCTCAATAAGTAATCATAAATTTACGAGTGAGTGTAATAAGAAACTAATTATGAAAATTTCATGGCTTGTGTATTGAAGATAATTAAAAAGTCGGTAGTCTTAGTGATGTTAATTTGAAAAAATAATTTACGGCATTCTTATCTAGATTCTACAAAACGAAGTGTAACTATTTACTACAAAATAGCGCTGCATACATGAACTTCAATTCTGGCCCCAAATTGATTTTTTATTTTTTTTTTTTGTTTGTTTGGTGTAACATATAGTCGACATTCCTATTCCCAAACTATTAACTTTAATAACAAAACACAAAAAAGTAGTTGCCATAGTGCAAAGAATGCGGCACTAAACAATAACAATAAAAATACAATACATATCTAAATACATTAAAATAGATAGACTATAGTATATATAATATCTGTATAAGTATGTTATGTATAAGTACAAAAGAAAACCTAGTGTACAAAAAAAACAAAAAAAAAGAAACACGACCGACAGTTAAGATATGTATCTAAATAATTTCGCTGCAACTGTTTATACCGCCGTTAAAATATGCAGTCAACAATCTGGCTAAGCAGCCAAAATGGTATAAACAATTTGGGGTTAGGAAGTCCAACTTCGTTCCGACTTCAGTAATGCGCGTACCGCTGCTGGCAATGCAGTCTTTGGCGTCTGGCCTGTTATTTGGTTGACTAGCAGCAGCCACCGCAATCGACAACAAATGCCAACAACGTTAGAAGTTCCATGGCATAAGCAATTTAACGGCACATTACAGGTAGATACGAATGCATCTACCAGCACGGAGTCATGCAAGTTATGGCGAGAATGCAACGACAACGCGGAGGCATGTTCTTGAAATTTATAAGCTAAATAGTTGCTGCATTTTAAATTTTTTTTTTTTTGTTTTTGATTCTATATTAATATTTATGGTTTTTTATGGTATAAACATTTTGCAGTAACTTTGCTAGACGTTAACGTTGGTCTAATCTTAGAGAAAGGTGCTACTCAATCTTCTCATGCCACAGTGCAGCAGTGAGTGGAAGACCTTTGTAAAATATTACTTTGTTTTTGTTTTTATTTTTGTTTTTGCTTTTGTATTGTTTTAGGCTAACAACAAAATTGGTAGTGATTGTAGCACACCTTTCCAATTTTGAATTCATAAATAAAATTTTTGCATAAATGGCAAATAATTTGCCGGCGCTTGCACTTGGCCAAAATAAGGCATCACCGGTCGCTCGCTCGCTCGTACGTACAACGAAATAATCAAATTTGCTGATAGACCCGAAAATGTCTATGAATTATAAAAAGTTTCTGTATAAAAATGTGAAAAACGATATTAATGCCGCCGGCCGGCCGTCGCTTGTTTGAAGCTTTTCAAGCCTCACAAAATCGTTTTGCAATGCAATATTTCTGTTTATTAGACGATTTTGTAACGTGCGGCCGCTGAAAGATGGTCTCTTCCGCGCCGGTGTCGGTGGGCAATGAATAATTTGTTTATAAACTGTGGAACGTTGATATGTTGTTGTTATGGCCAGAAGCATTTGGGAGCGCCAAAACATTCTCTGCGCCTCCTGCTTATTATATATTTGCGATGGATCCACTAAAGTTGGTGGTGAAAGGTCGTTTTGAATGTTTGCTTGTTTATGGTTGGCTTATCTATTTGGACTTTATTTTATTATTACTTTGTTTAACAACTTTGAGATAGTTCTTTATTTTTATTTTATTTTTATTTTTTTTTGCTTTTTTTGTTTTATTGTAATTTAATGCTATTGTTTTTTGTTTGTTGCATTGCTTATGCAAATTGCATTTATAACATTTTATGCATTTGCAATGTGTTACGCTCTGGTTTGTTTCTCACGTGCTTAACTGATTAAATAAATTATACTTCCAACTTCTCAACCGCTTGCAGGTTTCCGACATACTTTGTACTTAAGGTAATTGCATTTTTAAATAGAATGTAAAGCAGGTAACCTTATATTTTACAAGAATATATTGTAAAAGTACTTCTTTATGACTTAAAGATATTAACTATTCATTTTATTGCAACAACAAAACGGAAGTCCATTATAAACGCTAAGCAGTTGCGGCATACACTAGACAATTAAACAATTAATAGCCAATTTTTTCAAAGAAAAGCCACTAAAATTGTTATTATTTGGTAATATCGGAAATAGCTTTATGACCACCTGTTGAACTGAATAACGATAAAGTCTTTCATACTATTAATTAATGATGATAAAGCTTAAATGAGGTGTTTGATAAAATAAACCATTCACATATATTGTTAGTTTATAGGTCAAGGAGATTTTACATTGTTTGAAAATAAATTATATACTACGTTAATTCATCTATTTAATTTTGAAATTCTCAAGACTCTTATCATGTCTGCGCTACTGTATGGTATAGAAGCTTAGACAATTATCAACAGTGCATTCGATATGTTAAGAATATTCGACAGAAGAATTTAACTATGTTCCATTATGCATTGGCATTGGCAACTATTGAATTAGTTGGAACGATAAGCTGTATGAGGAATATCGCGACATTGACATAGTTAAGTGCATAAAAATTCAGTGGCTGCACTGGCTTGGTAATGTCGTGCGAATGGCAGAAAGTGCTCCGGCTAGAAAGGTGTTTGATTCGGTACGCATAGGTGAAAAATGCGGTAGAAGACGGTCGCATCTTCTGTGGAAAGACCAGATGACTAACAATTTGTGGGAGGTCGGTACTACTAATTGGAAACAGCAAGCAACTAATCATGCTAACTGGGGAAGGCTTCTCGACGCGGCCAAGTACGACTTACGCCTGTAATGGCAAACTAAGTAAGTAAATAAGTAATATTGGAATTCATTTCTTAATTGCATCCAAAGGAATTGCTTACAACTGGTAAAGCTGGCTTTTGATACAATATTGTATAAACTATTTAATATTAAAAACTCATTTAGTTCCTTTAATTTATTAAATATTACGAGTTATACTTCAAAAAATTAACGAATAGTTTTATTATAGTGTATAATCTTAAAAAAAGTGCCTAGCAATCATATAGTTTATTGGAGAAAATTTATAACAATATTCCAGGAATTGTAGGAAATGATTGTGATCCACTGATTTAAAAAGGGTAAACGAACAACGAACTGGGCACCTAAAAACCGCGTAAACCTACAATCCAAAAGAACACTTAACATATTAAACGCTATAATTTCTCACAGAAGCATTAAATATTGACAGGATTATTGCTACTACTATATGTATATATATACTATATGTATATGTATATATGCTATATACATTGGAAGTGACTTAAAAGGTGAAAAATTCAATATTATATCAATTAGCAAAACATTTATGTTGAACGGTGATTAATAATTCGAGAATTGATACTCAAAATTTGAACCAAAAATTATTTAACATCGCATGACTATTGATGGCAAAAACAGATCTATGATGATAACCCAAAAAAAATTAACATATCTGGCTAATCCCGACGTATTAGGGGTTACCCTGACTTATCAACATCAGCAGCATGTAAAAAATACTGGATCCAGAAGTTGTGGAACGACCATATTTGTAAGTTCTAAGTACAATTCAAGGCACAAATAATTCGAATAAAAAATCTTATATTCAAAATAATATATATAATAATATAGTAATATAGTTATATTTAAATAAAATTTAAATTTTGAGATTTTAAAAAAATATTACTATTAATAATTAATTTGAAAACAATTATGAAGAAATTCAGAACTTAAACATTTCCATAATCGAGATTAATCACTTTTATAAGATAAATTCTTTTACTAAATTAAATTAAAATAAAAGTATAAATATACAATAATTGAAATAGTTAACTAAAACCTTTCTGACAGAATCCAGAGTTGTTCAACGAGGTTACCTGCTTTGAAAGGTCACGACCTCGGTGTTCTAAAAACACACGTATGAAGATTATGCGCCAATAACCGCTTTATTCCAAATTCCAAAGACTTTCTATCGGCATTAATTTAAGTAATGTATTTGGCATAACTTACCCCTTGGTAAAGAGCAAGGCCTACCAATATCTCTGCTGATCTTTGGGTACACAGCACCCAGTATGTATACGCAGCTCCACACCAAATAAAGTAAAATATAATCACTCTAACCGCGTAAGTTTGGGTTTAAATACAGCCAACACGATATTTCCCACCTTGATTAATCAGGACAGCTGAAGCTGCGCGAACGGACTCCCGTGGAGGACTCACGTCTGTAAAGGCCAACTAAGTGAGATATACACATCCGGTCGAATGTCGTAAGTGAATCTCACTCACTACCATTTACACTCCAAACATTGTCTGTATGCTGCCGGAATATTAGGCGCCTCTTACAATAGATATACCTTACTTCAGTTATATTCTAACCCCTTCAGCATAGGGGGAAGAGCTTTCTAACAAACATCCATTTAGGATATTTCCAAATTTCCAAATTAGTGGTCTTTCGAGAATATTTATTTGGACATATTTTTGTCATATCACTTATTATGGCATAATTTTACTTATCAATTTTTTTTATTTATTTTAAGTATTTAAAATATTTATAAGATTTGGTATCTATTACATATCGAAATGTTAGTCATGATTATTTTATTTTGCATTAAATTAATAATTATTTACTACTTGGTGTTGCTTGGGTTAGAAGAATAAGACTGTTACGTTGAGCATTCGCCAATATAATTGCACAATAAATTATATAAATATTTCAATTGATTAATGAGTTTCACAATTAAATATTAATATCATTTTTTAAATATTATTTTATTAAAAATTATTTCTATTTTATTGCAACTTTAATGCAGTAGTACTATACATGACTTTCTCCGATTACTAAATAATATTATTTCACCTTTCATTTTTGAAATCCTGCTTCGAAGTTATCATTTTGAATACAATAAGTAAATTTTAATTACTTTTAATTTTTTTATTGAAATTATTAAATGCAATTTAAATAATTTACTGAGGAATTGATATTGCGAAGTGCAGTTTAACCACTAAATATAAATAAACTTTATGTACGAATACATTCAAAATTAGTGTGAGAAGCAGCCTTTGGCATATGAAAACCCACAAGAGAAGATAAAATGAGTTCAGCAAACTTCTCATGATTTGGCTTTGATCCAACATAAAACAAAACATTTTAAGTGGATTTTTTTGAATGCAGCATCCAATAAAGGGTGGAGCAGTCGAACACGACATACAACAGGCAGTGTCTTATCAATCAATTAACTAATTGACTTGAGAAAAAAGCATTTATCTGCAGAAATAAGAAACTCAATCAAATTTAAAAATAAAATTCTCAATGTATTTTTATTCGTTCAGAAGGTAAACAAATGGATTTCAAATTGCAACACTACAGATTTGGGTTAATAAGCTCTTTTATTGTCTGTTGTGGGTTAATAAACTATGGAGGTCAATTACTTATTTATATATAATAAATAATATTTTTGACGAAAAGCACGAATAGAGAATCACTGAGTTTAAGATAATGATTATTTTTATTCTTATTAATTATTATAATTAATAATTAATTAAATGATTAATTAATTTAAAAAATATTTAATAATAATTAATTATATTAAAATTAATATAATTATATTATAATTATAATATTTTATAATTACATTATAATTATAATATATTATAATTAATTACTATATCTTATTAATTATTATTTTGATTATTATTACCCCTCTTAAATTTGATAATTTATAATAATAATATTTATAATAAATGTATTTTCAAAATTAATTATGATAAAAGAAACTAATATTCTGTAAATAATATGTTATATTATTATTCATAATTTTTTAATATTTTATTTTTTTATTTATTATAAATTTTTTTTAACAATAAAAATTTTTTTTACTTTAGCCGTCGTTTTAATAAATTATAATGAAATTAATAAATGATTAATTATTTTTATTGAATTTCGATAAAAGAATTTGTTTTCCGTAGATAATATATATAATAATAGTTATTTATTATTTTATTTTATTTTTTTTATTATTTATTTATTTATTTTTATGAATTTTTTTTATTTGTATCATTCTTTATTTCACGATTAATATTTCTTTACTTTAAACCTCTTTTTATAGGTTTCAATAAATATATTTAATTCTATCTACTTACATGATACTATCTTTTTCCTTATTCTTGTTGTTGTGTACTTTTAATATAGTATTCAGTTCCTTCATAACATCACTGCTTTTACGGCTTAATTCCGGAAATAATTCGCTCTCGCCAATTTTATTTAAATCAGAACCACTGCGACTCCTAATTGAAGCCGACCTATAGAAGTTCATTAAAGCATAATAGTTAATGCATAAATTCACTTAATTTAACAACTTACCTATCAATAGAATCCAAACTACTGTTCATATCAAAATCCATCATCAAGTCATCAGAACAAATCGATTCACATGGAGATAATGTATCAAGTGATTCAGCGCGTTCCATTACTGCCTTTCTTAATGAAAGTGGTGTACGTAAGCTTAACTCTATGGCTTGCTGTAAAGCAGTGCGCGCCTTCGATTGACTCTTCAATGAACGCATAGAACCTGTTTCCATTAATGTAGGCGTATCAGTTTTCTCCTTACGTGATGCTAAACTATCACCACCATCTTGATGCTCACTATTAAACAACAAAGCTGGTTGATCGGCAATTTCATCATCGATTAAATTACCACAATCTGAGAGTGATAAGGAATGTGATGCATGTGTAGGTGTACCAGGTGATATTGGACTCCCAACTTCGAATTCAGGTGATATTTCATCTATATCCTTCTCTTGCAATTCTTCATTAATTTTATGTTTTTTCTGTTTGCATACTGCGTCTTCAGATTCTGTACTACTAACAAGACTATCAGTGGGTGAAGTCTCATCGTCTAATAAAAATGCGCTACCAGCCAAAGCCAGTTCTGCAAATTTACTCTCATTAAGTGCATCATAAAGTGATTTCGGACGTTCATTCAGATTTAATATATGTTCAGTACTCTCAGTTTTTGGTAAATCATCCAGCATTGTTTGATCTTCCAAATTCTCTTCCTTTGAATTATTGAGCATTTGTGCAGCATTAGGTACAGTTTCAGTTAATGAAGCTAAAATTAAAAAGAGTTAATGGCATTATAAATATATATATATAGGAGTATAAACAAAATATTTACAAATTGTGCTTATTTGCATTTCCGTATTGAGCATGCTTATGTCATCGTCATTGAGCTCCAACTGCAATTCCGCTTCCGCTTTTTGCTTGCGTTCATCCAAACGTTCCTGCACTTTATTACTATCCTCACTGCTGCTTATGCTTAGACTACTGCAATCTTTGACTGCAAGCGACTCGCCTGCGTTACACCAAGATGACATAATGGAACTACCAGGGGAAGATGTCTTACTGGAACATGTGTTAATATCTTTGAAAAGCTGCTGATACATTATGTCATTAAATATTTAAAACGAAATCTAAATGAAATTTATAACATACTTTGGCACTTTTTTCTGAAGCTGAGCGATCTAAATAGAGTTTCTCCTCATCTACGCTTTCACTTTCTTCAGATGGATTCCGTTGAATTTCATGACGAATGGCGCGTGATGTGGATTTAGGTTTTTCTACAATTTTAAAATTTTAAAATTTTAAAAATATCCATAAACTTTGGAATTTATGTTGATCAAATACAAAAGAGTTTAAAATTCTTAAGCCTTTCACTGTGGCACCTTTCATGTATTTAACATAAATTCACTTACCCAGTTCCACTCTCTGTCCACTCACATTTTTACGTTCATACGACTCACGACTTAAAACCGTATTCGAACGTATTAAGCCGCTCAAGGGCAATGGTACAGTTTGATTTTCTGCTGGTAATTTTGGTAATGCCAAGGGTTCTACAATTGAACTTGACTCGCTTGAAAGTGGATCATCCAAGTCACGTACTTCAAATTTATGCCTTCCATTCATTACCATTTGCAAATTGCGCGGTCGGCTGCGACTGCGCTTGGGCGACGAATGTCGTCCACCACCATTGCCACCTGCACTTGACGTAGAACTATCCAATGCCATATCCATGCTAGCAATGCCGGAGTCAGCTGATATCTCACGACTACCAGTAAAACCACGACGTGTGGTGTTTGCCATTTGCTTGGCGGTTTTCTGATCCATATGCTGTTGTGTTTGCACTGCAGTCAGTGGATGTGTTACTCTGTATACGATGGCATCTTTGGCGCGAGCCCCAGCGCTACCAAGTGCAGTTGCTGTTACAGGTGAAGGTGAAAACACGCTGCCTGGTGTGGTAGGTGTTGTTGCGCTAACACTTATAGCAACTGGGAACTCTGGCTTCGGTAGACTAACAGTGTGCAATGTAAACTTGGAGTATGTTGCAGGTGGTGCCCGTGGCGTAGGTCGTAAACTAAAAACGACGTGCAAATTACACAATTCAAAACAAATAGATAAGATTTTTTTTTTTTATTGCTAATAGATGCAAAAGTAGTTAGATAAAATTTAATTACTTACATTACATTCGTATGCATGCCTGTATTGATTACTCTGGGCTGATGCTGCTGATATTGTGCTGTGCTCATATAACCGGCACGTCCATTTGCACTGTGTGTCGGCTGTTGAAAGAACTGTTGACGTTGATATTCAATGGTACTATTTTGATTCAAATTGAATGTTAGCGTCTTGGGTTGTGTTATTTTTGGAGCTGCATCAGCGCTGCCTTCTTCTTGCTCTTCGGATTGATTTGATGTCAATGCACGACCTGCATGTGCGCTCTTTGAACGGCGTTTCACTTTAAATAAAAAATAATTCAATTACTGTTAAGTTCTTCGCTACTTTTTCCATTTTTATATCGTATCTACAGAGTGAAGAACAATTGCAATCATTGCAACATGAAGCAGCAGCAGATGAAAATTAATTTACAACATTAAATGGATTGCTGAGTGCTTCCAGAAGAAGAATTGATTTTAATTAAAAACTTTGAACTAAATTTTATTTTCTAATTATTTTATATATAGAGTTATTTTTTTATAGAGTTAAATATATTTAAAATGTCAACATACGTTAATATTTAATTTGAAATAAATTGATAATTAATAATATTTATTATTTAAATTTAAATAGGTGTGGTAGAAAGTGACTCCTGTCGACTCTGTCATGAGGAGAAGGAAACATCAGAAGATGTTCTATGCAACTGCACAGCGGTGGCAAGACGTAGACTCGATTACCTTAGAAGCGGGATCTTAGTACCAAGTCAAATAGGTAAAATCAAGCCCACAGCAATTACAAGATTTACAAATAGTCTAAAACTGTCCTAGTTTATGTGCACAATAGATCTTTTAGGTCGGGGTGCTTCATTAGCCTATTACTTATATAATAATAAATATTATTTAAATAAATTTTAATTTCAAATTAATATTTGAATTAAAAATATTCCTGTAGTCTAATTAATTATAGTTATATCTAGTTACAAAGTTATATTTTTGAATTACAAAAACTAAAATAATTCTGTAGTAAAGTAATAATGAAGTTATATTATATTAACTATATTTTATAATATAATAATAATTCTACAATACATATACATAAAGTAACACATATTTAGCTATATAGGCCGTGTGCGAGTTCGAGTAAATTGATGGCAAATTGAGGGAAATAGTAAATTATGTCGGTAAGGCAACAATTGTTGGTATTTACCGGAATTTCGAGTAGGGTAAATTATATAAAAATAGCTAAATTAAGTGTTATCATTGTGATAATTTTATAAGATAAATAAATAAATAAATTTGAAAACTTCTAACCAAAAATTATAAATAAGTGCAAAACATAAATAAATATTTACTTAAGTGCAGTGCTTAATCATTCTATTGTCTTTAAATCTAATCTTAATCTAAATCTAATTATATGAAAACATAATAAGACAGTAATTGAGAAAACAAAATAATGGTAGTAAAGACAATAATAGAGAGAAAACTAATAAATACTAAGCTGCATCTATTTAATTCTACCATTTTATTCTCCCATTAACTGCAGCAATAATTAAAAGTTGAGCTAGCGAAATTTATATTCAGTACAGCTCTTCAATTATCTAAAACATACCTTATCATTAAAACAATAGAACCACTTTGTTTGATTTAGTAATCTATGTGCCGATATCTCAATTACTTCATCATATAACATTACAATTATAAGTCAAATAAAATGACAGTAAAATTGCTATTCATACGATTAATACTCGTATTGAAACAATGGTTTTGAAATCAATGATTTTAATAGCAGTGGTTTCAATATAAACGGTTTCAATATTAAAGGTGTCAATATCAGTCATGTGAATAGGTATAAATGACATCAATAGGAAAGCAATTATAATTTTGATTACATTAAGAAGAACTATGTTAAATTTTTATAGCTAGAATTATATTGTATTTAAAGCAATTTCCTGATTAGCTGATTTAGGCCACGTTTTCTTATATGATACTTTACATCAGATCAATTATCTAACTATATCTAAGAAAGTAAGCAACCAAAGACAAAGCTGTTAAAAATAACAAACATACAGTTTCGTAGAATTTTTCGCTTAGATAATAATAGTATCGACTTTTTCTAATCTAGACCACTTAAAGATCTGTCAAATCTAATCTAATCTAGACCACACTATAATCTGTGATAAATATTTTGATGTGGTATGGCTGAGACTTTACTCTATGGATACCTAATATTAGTTGAAAAATATATGAAAAGATTATGAAAAGCATTGATGGACTATATGTTGCTTCGACAATTTTTTAACACGATACTCTTATGTTACAAATTAGGATCCGTGCTGAGTGTTTTGATACGACAAATCGAATACTAAGATAAGACTGCACTGGTTTGCTGCTTAAATAACAGTATTCTATTTGACAAGCTATATGTTGATTCTTTTTCATCATATCATCTTATAGATTTTCAGCTAAAAGCATTAAGAAATGGCAAACTATATTTATTCCATGGATGTGTTATTCCAGTAAGTGATACCTTCTGCTCAAAAAGTAGTAGGTATCACTTCTGTTATCCACAAATTTAAATTTTATTCCAAATTTATTTTATCTCCTTCAAAATATGCTCCTTCTGAAGCGATACACAAACGCCAACGCTTAACCCAATCTTCCATACACTTTTCGTAGGTCGTGCAGGTATGGTTTTTAGTTCCTTCGGTGAATTCTTTTTTACCGATTCAATCGAATCAAAACGTTTACCACGAAGGGGCAATTTGAGTTTCGGGAAAGAGAAAAAGTCGCATGGATCCAGATCTGGCGAATATGGTGCCTTAGCGATGACAGTGGTGCCATGTTTGATCAAAAAATCGCTAAATGCACTTGAGGTAGTCTCACATTAACAGCTGCTGTAAATAAACTAATTTACAGATGGCGCTCAAATTTGTACCATATGTCAAAAAAAGGTGTACCAATATAACAACAAAAAAACTTTTGAAAAAGGTCTATTAGTTAAGGAGTAGTTAACAAACAACAAAATCCGGATACTTTTTGACGTATAGAATAATATTATAAATACAGTAAAGTGTCGGAAAATGAAGTTAAATGGTGAACTGTATTATTGTATCCTAAAGCAATATACAATAATATGCATGTTACAGGAGAGGTGTGTATCCAATATACCACAGTGATTGAGAAATTTTATTAATTATTGATGACCTTTTCACTACAAAAAAATTGAGCTTGAATATTTCTATACTCTATTCCTTTCTCAATTCCTAAAATTTTTATACGACAAAAATAATTTGGGCTTAAGTTGAAGATACTGTAACAATAACCGTAGTAACAATTTTAATTAAATTTAAAATAAATCATAATTAATAAAACCTTTTACGAAATAGTTTCTAAACTCTTACTAAAAGCAGTAATTCATTTAATTAATTTTGTTAAGGTCAATTCAATTTCACACGTCAACATCCTTTCACATTTTTCTTATAGCTTCACTTAACCTCAAATATAAACCATATACTATACATATAACTATAATAAAACTTTAAAGGAAATACAATTGAATTTCTTTCTAATTCAAAAAAAAAAAATCTTTTTAACAATTAGATATGAATTCAATTCAATTCGTACACATCAATTTTCCAACTTTCTTTCATGTTTAAAAGATAAAAGTTTGACATTCAATACTTACGATTGCTCACTAATGGCTTTTGCTGACCACCCTCAGTTACAGTGCAATTATTGTTCTCCACATTTTCATGACTATCGCTGCGATATCTACCGGTAATGCCAGTGGAAGCGGGACGTGCCACATTGCAGCCACGATAACCGAAACGATTGCCTGCGCCTGGACGATTTGCTGTCTGTGACTGTTCCGGCACTCCTTGATTTGTTGAAAACTTTTGTGCAGACTTTCCACCGGCCGCAGCTGCACCCATCTTTTCAAAGTATACTTTGGGCATTGTGTCTGGTGTGCAATAGTGAAATAAATTTTCATATTAAAAAATTATGCCATTTAAGATGTCAAGTATTTAAACTTTAGCAGAAAAATAAATAATAATTCATGAAAACTGAAAAATCATAATTAATTTTGATTGTCTTTGAAGCACCTGTTGGATTGCACTGATATATACTCCTTCTATACACTCTCTTGGAGGGATTTAAATGTCTTTTGAGTGTCCTTATTATCACACTTCTATATTAATTTCATACTTTCTTACCTGAATTGCCGTTATCATCTTCGTGTATATTCTCAGTGGTGACAATTATTTCAGTATCTATCACAGCTCCTGTTGTTCTACCGACGTCATCGTCACTTATGTTATTGCACTTATCGTGCTTCTTCTTGCTGTCACCCTCGATAAGCTTTTTTAATTTTTTTGGTGTGGTGTTGAGTTTTTTGCGAAAACCAAAGGACATCGCTGTACCCTTTGTTTCAATGCTTCCTGCGCCTTGTTTTTTGCTTTTTTTACTTTCCGTTTGACCCTGCAATACGAGGAAAATTATAATTATTATAATTGTTATTGTAATGCAATATGTTTGCTAGAGCATTAACTTAATTACGTATTAAATTTTTATTTTTATTTTTAGTGCAGTTTTGCGACAGGTTTTAGGGAGTTCATTTTATCGACAGTTCAATGCACTGCGCAAAGCAAAATCAATTTTAATTGCTTAGTTTTAAACTACAGAACTGAAATATATTTCCTTTATTTAAAAATAATACTAATAAAATGATTAGCTGCCACACCTATTAGATAAGTGCGATTAAATACATTTTGAAAGAGAAACTTTTGGCCCATAGCAGCGCTTTTTAACTTTTTTTGTACAGTGGGTATTTATTATTTATGTTTAAGAACTACAGATTTATTTCATATGTATGTATATATATATATGGTTTAATGCGTTTCGTCATCTCCGAATAACTCGCCATCTGACACCAGATACCGGTTACCAGTTCCATCGTTCACATAAATAAAGCAAAGGAAAAGCTTAGGAAGAACTCAAGAATAGTAATACTACCAGTACTACCCACTTTCCATCGTTCACATAAATAAAGCTAAGGAAGAGAATAGGAAGAACTTAAGAATAGTAATACTACAAAAACGAATTCCATTAATGATGATCCTATAGTACTTGTACGATAAGTTGAATGTCATTATATTAGTAGGAAAAAAATCTATATTTGACACGAGCTCATGAAAAGGTTCACCACCACAGTTGTGCAAGAAGTTCACACTTCTCTGATTTGATTTTATTGTCTGTTATTTGACTTTATTGTCAGAATGTGAAAATAAAAACTCGTTTGTTCATAAATATAGGCTTAATGAGTCAAATATTGTACTCAAGAAAGTTGAATCCATTTTGGTGAGGAATTTAACACTTGTTATAAAATTTTTTGATACCAGATAATTATTAAATTAAATATAGAAGGATGTAAGTTTGTTTTTAATATAAGTTTAAGGTTTTAAGCTATATGTTCATGTGTATAATAACATAGTATTAGTTCACAACTAACTCCCAACAAACTCTCCAGATACCACTTGCGAGACTCAGAATTACTATTTGAATCTTCGGAATGTAGTCCCTGGCTTAAAAAGATAATATCTTTATTATACATTATCATATTCGAATGAAGTGATACATAATAACTGTAGTAATTGCATTCTAAACAGAAAACTTCAGTACGTAGTATATGTCTTCGTGCTGATAGTGTAGGTTTGTCTTAATCGCGTCATGGATTATTAATTTATCATTAACACAATGATTTAAGGAGATCATAACTCCTTTTGATTGCCCTCTTATTTAAGTCATCAACAAAATAGTTATATAATTCAATTGAAATCAAATAGGCAGGTCATGATACGAACTGCGTATAGCAGTTTTTCATTCATCACTGTTGTTAAGAATAGAATGCATTATAAATATATTAATTGACCTCTTAAGGTCATTAGAAATACAGTGGTATTTTTAAATTTAAATGAAGCACCGGATGGAATATTAAACAAGTAACATTTTTTTGTATGTACTTATAAACATTTCTTTTTAATATAATTTACCTTTTCACTGAAGTACTTATATAGTTTATTATATATATATTTTATTTGTGAGGTCTTCAGATGAAAGTAAAGGTTACTACAAATTTACCGTTTATAGAAAAAATCTTTATTTTGAGAAATGCATCTATTAAAGCTTATAGTATACTGGTGCGATTAAACTCACATCAACACAACTAGATGAAATAAAAAATGGAACTACATAAACTGCATCTACGAATTATGTATACGTCCTATTATAGAAATAAAATAGAGAAGATTTATCACGTTCATTATTCGGCAGTAGAACACAAATTAAAATATAAAAAATATTCATTGAATATATATTATAGTTATTTTTCTACAATGGAGTTCTAGTTCTATTTAAGCTGTTATAGTCAATTTCATTAAGAAACGCTACTGAAAAACAACAAATTACGTAGTATATAAACAGTTACAACCGGTTTTACGATATATATTGTTTTTGTCACTATCCCTGTTTATTAAAATTGTTCAACTGAAAAGTTTTAGTTGTGACAAAATTCTTCATTACTCCCAACCGCTATTTAGAAATAAAAATCTCAATGCTAAGAACAGGAAACTGATATATAACCAAATGATTCGTCCGTCACTTTTGTATGGTTGTGTAGCGTTTAGCAAAGCTTCAAACACTACTATTCACCAGCTAGAAATTGCACAAAGCCAGGCTCTGAGAAGACTTTTCAAAGTTCCATGGTACATTAGAACGAATGACATCCTCAAGGATCTCAATATTGATCCCATCAAAAAATATATAAAGGATAGAGCCCTGAAATTATTTGCGAAAACGGACAGACTTATCAACACCGCGTTATCAAAATTCAGAATGGTTACAGGCTCCTCGGCGAGGTATGCAGATCTGAGGTCAATTATTGCTTAGTCAGATGAAGTGAAAAACAATAATCTAGTCAAGGTGTAGAGAGAGGTTTTAAAGAAACCTCGAGTTAAAAAAGAGTATAAGTGCTTAAATGCACTAGCTCAAAACAGCTTCAACATAATAATAATAAATAAATACTGGTTTTATTTCGGAACACATATAAATCATGTTTTTAAATTGAAATAGTTGCGAGGTTACTTATTTTATAGTATTACTTGAGTTGTTAAAAGCTTGTTTGAACCTAAATAAAAATTTTTCAATAGGTTTTTAAGTTTTATTTTATAAAGTTATATTCTATACAAATGTCGCCGACATTTCAAAGTTTATTTGACTTCTTCCATAGAACGCAGAATTATTTTTGTATAATTATTTTAATCTCAATTATATTTTTTTTGAATAAAATTCTCTTACTTTTAATTTATATATATTCATAGAAGATTAAAGATAATTTTACACATAAAATAAGTAATACTGTGTTATTATTAAAAACCTTTTTGACATATATAACAATTTTCATCTACAGACAAACTTTTAAAACTATTACAACATAACGTACTTAAAGACCTCATATCCTCATATTCTAAACACTTCAACTCATATCCTAAACATTAAGAGTATTAAAGACATAAGAAGACGATATTCCTAATCGCTACACTTATGTAAACAAAAGCATTAACCTATACCCAATAGAGAAATGTATATTTGCTGACATAACTATATATACTATATAACTATATAATGTAATATAATGTACGTTATTATATATTTATTCATCGAAGTAATAAAATGTGTGTTTAGTAAAATCTGCCTTTCAACGATTTCGGAGCAATAAAACGTAATTTCGTCAACAGGCGCACGCGATGTTGCAAGTTTGATGATTCATACATTGGACGTACTATGTACCTCATATGGTACTACCACAACACCGCTATACGAGTAACACCGCAATATATAATCGTATATTGCCAAAGTGGAATAAGAGCCCGGAATATTTGCATATCTTTATACAGGGAAAAAAAAATTGCAATATCAAATGCAAATAATCAACCTAAGATGCACTCAATCCACAAAACAATAAAGATTTCCTTTCAGTGTTTAACATATGAATATATTTCTAAACAAATATAATCCACAGCGTAAGTGGATTCCATTTTATGTATGCGTTCAGTTGTATGTAAGTACACCCATGCGACTTTTCCGGGTACACAACGACTGAACTGCAATTCGCTAGGTAATTCGGTAAATGTTCGAAGCATTATAAGCAAAAGAAAATTAATTTAATTTACCATAATTTCGCCTTCTTCGTCTAAAGCAGTGAAATTTATGATTTCGACGTCGTTATCATTGATTTGTTGCTCTATTTCAAGCTCCTCGTATGCTTCCAAACTGATAACGAGGTTTTCACATTCATCCATCTTGTATATTAATTCTTAGTTGAGTTGCCCCCTTTGTAGGCGGGCCTTAGTATATTGAATTTTCGTCTTCGCCGTTTTTATGACAATTTGTGCAGCAAAAGTTTTCAAAAATGTCTTTAAGATTTATGCAAAAAAATAATTGCTTAAGTTAAATGGCGAAAAATGCCGTAATTCACGCACTTGACATGATTTCCAGATGCAAAACTTTAGGTTGAAATATCTCCAAATACAATTATTTTGACGCACTTTTCGCCTTCAAGCACATGAAAAGTCCTTGAAAATAATTACACAGTTTATTCACTTTTTGTGTAATAACACAACTTTAAATAAATCTTTAATAACAATTATTTATTTACTTATATGACTGCTTCTTAATTTGCAATTAATTAGATAAAACAGTTTCCATTAAATTAAGTTTTTATTTGCAAATTTCTTATTAAAATTTTTCACTTTCAGATGCCGTCTTTGTACTTGCGACGTCACACGGAAAAACAATTGTGGTGTGGAAAATCTGCGTTGTTCTGGTCGAATCGTTTCAAGTGTTTTGTGGATTCAGAAAGTGAGAAGTGGACATGCGCAGTTCTGCGAAAATAACCAAAACATTGGGCATTTCGTTTTGACGTTTGGCGAATAATCAATAAAACCTTTACTGACTGGAGCGACATCTATTGACTGAATTTAGTTTACATTTTAAGGGTTGATTTTATGATAACAAAAAATTAGGGGTTTGTGCGAACAGTGTTAGCAGAGCAGAAATAATAACTTTTCAAATTTTCCGTGAGGGTTGGAAAAACCATAAACATTCTAAATATTAGGGTTGGTTAGGGTATAAAGAAAGACAGTTACGAAGGCTGTTTGAATTAAATATTGATGCGAAAAAAAAAATTAAATAACATTTTAAAAAAGTTTATGTAGTCCATTTATTTAAAAAAGTCTACTAAACAAAATTGAACTACATACCAAAAAGAAGATGAAACTGGTTTTATAAAGTATCTTGTAGTTAACCCACTATCTTCCTTTATTGAAATTCTCTATTCTAATAATAGCTGTCTTAAGTAAATGAAAAAAAATTACGCATTTTGAAAAATAGTCCAATTTGATAAAACTCTTACTTCCTTATATAAAATTTATAATATATAATATAACAAAAAGAAAATATGATTCTAATTTCTGAAGACCCCGATCTGGCGAAGGACTTAATTAAGTAAGGTTGCTTGTTCTAAATTTGTCCATGAATACATTGTAGTTTAGATATCGAATTTATATCGAGGTTTGAAATTCTTTACTAATAAAAACTATATATACTATCTAACGGAATTAATATACCTATGCAGTTTTTGCAGTTCTCACATAAATACCTGGTAAAAACTAGTAGACGTTTCAAATGACCAGTTCGTCTATTTGTTGTTGGTGGTTTTAATGCAAGGTTTCCAACTTTGCATTCCACATCTGGAGAATTCAACTACAATGTATATAAAGAAATGAAAAAGCTTGGTCAGAATACGCAACTTTACCTAAATCCGTAATTAAATCGGAATGCCCCCAAAAATAAAAATCATATTATCATATTTTAAGTTTGACGGAATAAGCTACTAAATATTTATAATGGCAATCCATGAATTCTAGCGTTAACGGGAAAAAATCGTGGCATTCCTTTAACCATCACAGAATTAGTTAAAGATAACGATTACACTGACGATATATGGCTTCTGTCGAAAAACAAACAGACATGCAATCTAGGCTGGAAGATCTTTTAGAAAACTCTGTACCCTTTTGTGACATGCAAATTAAAGAAACTTCCAACTTAATATAGATTGAATCGAGAATGTCAACTTTTTTAAATACCTAGACAGTGTGATTTCGGCAGGGGACAGCGCCAAAAAAGACTTTGTGGCACAGATCGGGAGAGCCTGGGCTGCTTTCGCACAACTGCAGAATACATGGTGCTCATTCACTGTATCCATCAAAACTAAGTTGCGCATATAGAAATCAAATGTACTACATCCGCTATGTACGGGTGCGAAATATGGTTCTACACAGGCGCAATAATAAGTAAGCTAAAAAGCTTTATCAATCGTGGACTACGCCACATACTTAGAATATGGTGGCCCTATGTAATTACTAATCAAAAACTTTACCAAAGATGCAACATGGATCCTGTGATAACTTTTGTTAGGTATCGCAAATGGAAATGAATTAGCTACACACTACGTAAGAATCCCTCTGAGATCTGCTACTAAGTCCTCGACTAGAACAGGAGGAGAACATTGTTAAAAGAAATTGAAATAATCGGAAAATCTTGGGGCAAAATTAAGCATTTAACTCACAACTACGCGCTATAAAGATATTTTGTTGAGGCCCTATGCTCCAATAGGAGTTAAAGAAGAATAGATAATCAAAAAGAAGAATAGGTGACTGTATCTGTTAAATTGACACGTCAAAGAAGTAAAAACCGTGCTATCATTTTTTATTACAATATAAAAAATATTTGATTATTTGCGAAAAAAGTTTTATAAAAAACGAAACAATATATGGACAGGTGGAAATACATAATATATATATTAGGTTTTTTTAAAACATATTGAGTAGAAAAAGAACATTTACCGAGGAGTGCATATAAGAAGTGGTTTTATTGCCAGCTTTTACCCAAACTTTATTTCCATATTGCTTGCACTGACTACTATTGTTTAACATTTGTGCTTTCTAAAAAATAATAATCTATTATTATATCATTATAATTTATTATATGCAAACATACATCTTCGCATAATTGCAGTTTGATGCGCTCTCTAAATATCTTACGAACTGTAAATAAATCCATTGGCGAATCAATTAATCCAAATATCTTCTTCAAGTAAAATCGAATAAAAAGTCCCCTTTCGAAACCGACGTGTTTTTAGTAATATCGGGATATATTTATCTACACAAACACTATTTTATTACTCAAAAATAATATGAAGTTTTGTAAATAAATGTGTACTAAGTTTAAATATTCTGTTTCAAAATATTGCTTACATATATACCTACTAATGTATTCCTAAGAAGTCATTAGATAAATTCAGTTATTTTCTAAATATTGTTCAATGAAAAATTTAAATGAAAAGGGAAAAAAAGAAAAAATCAGTAACTAATCTCACTTCTACATTCATTTTGTACTTTTCTTCTTTTTTGTGCTCTTCCTTTGAGTACGGAAATCTCTAAACACAGCATCGTTTCCTAATATGTAGATATCCCAAATGGTTACAATATATCCTTACAAAAACCGTTTGAATATTCGAACAGGAACAGAAAAGAATGAAGCTTATTAAGGAAAGGATGTTGACAATTCTAAAAAAAAATTCATTTGTTTAGAGAATATGCATAACACCATGTTCGATACGAAATCTTGAAAAATAAAAAATTTATATAGTTTATGAAAAATTATGCTTTTCAGTTGCCTAACTAATTGCTTAAATGATTGTTCTACAAAATTAATTTTAAAAAAAGATACATTACAGTTGTACCAACTAAGCGAGTTATACCATTGTAAATACTTTCTAAATACTTTCAGAACATCAATATGAAAGTGTCACATAAGAGGATCCTGAACACTGTAATAGTTATTACAGTAAAAACTTGTTGGCTATCTCTAGTAACGTTCTTAGCTAAAATTATACTACCACACATACTAAAAACAATCAACAGAATAGTTCATAAAAATATGTTCGAATTCTATGAAAACCACAAATAATATATTCATCATATCAATGTTGTCGTCATAGTGTTTCAGCAATATAATGAATTTATAAAATATGTTAGTGCTATTTTTATCAGCTTTAATAAGACATTTATTGCCATCCTTAAAGCACTTTGAGAAACGACAAATATCGCTTATACAAATCTTAATTGTCGAGGATTTTACTATTTTCAATCCAATTCGATTTGTGATGTCATTCACAGAAGACTAGTATGTCCATTAATACTTCGAGTTCGAGAACTTCAGGGACAGTCGAATTCGAATATTTGCATCGAACACTTTGGAAATGTCCTCGAACAGTTAATCTTGCTTTATGTTTCATTTTATTTTCATTTTTTTTTATAAATATGTGAATATGTACAAAGTATTCGAAGTCTTTGAAGTATGAGGTATTCGAAGTATGAACAATTCGAGGCACAAATACAAGCATATTCGAAGATTGAATTGCTGAAATTTGTAAACATTTCGATTAATTTTTATGTAAAATACTAGTACATATCACAACCATTACTATGCATCTTCATTACGGATAAAAGAAAATATTGCCATGTTAACCAATACATAACAATAACGATATTCAATATCACTGTTTCGCATACCTGGAGTACTCGGAATATGAAATCTATATTTGAAACAGTTGCACCCTAAAAGACTAACTAGGCAGCATCACACTTTTAAATATCGGGCTAGAAAATATAATTCAGTAATATGAACTACAGTAAGAAATAGTGGGTAGCCCATGATTACACCTCTATCTTTGTACCGTTATTAACAATAAGTGATGAAAACCCAAAGTGTTAACATGAACTATATTAGTAGCGTGGTTACAGAGAAAATCAATGCGAATTGATGATTTTGATAATGTTCATGTTGCATTAACAAAGCTTTAATGGCTTGGATGCACTATGAAGCATTTGTCGCTCTCCGGTAGGGCCAACAACTGAGCAAAAATATTGTAACACAGAAACAAAAGTAAAATGAATAGCATCGTTGATGTAGCGAAATGTCAGATAGGAAAACTGGGAAAGTAAATTAGTATCTAAATTCTTTTGTAGTAATGGATATTTTCAGAAATAAATAAAATAATCCGAAGAGTACATATGGAGATGCAGACGAAGACAACGCTGAATACACCATCTTCCAATGCAAGCGATGGAACACCAAAAGAGCACCACTTCAAACAATATTCGGTAAAATAAACGCCGAAAATATTACAACGAAGATACTATCTAAAGAAAACTGTTGTGCCATAGACCGATTCAATACGATCATACTCAAACGGATTTATGGTCTACAAAAGTGATAAAACAAGAACAGCTAAAGAACTAGCCTAGCAGCCTGAATACAGAGAAGAAAAGTACAACAAATGACCAAAATATCGCCTACCTAAAAGTATTTACAATTAAGTTTCATGGTAAAGATGGTCTGGCATATGAGAAGGACTGTATTTAGACCGTGCAAAACAGACATACCACTATTATGATTACATAGCTATGCGTTGATTGGGTATTTTTAAACCTCTTAACTGAACAAAAAAAAAAGAACTTGTCGCTCTTCGTAAGTGGCAAATTATGTCTTCATGAACCAAGAGGATGTTAGAAGCGCTATGTTTCACTATAAAAAAGGGGCCATCAGAAGGTAAATAATCTTTTAAATCTAATTTAAGGGGCACACCGATTTAGCAACTGACTTTAGTAAAGTTAGTTATTTTCAGCAATTTCTTTTACTACGCTTTATACCAATATAGGTCACTTCTCCATATGTGTATAGACCTCTAAAATTATCAGCATTTTACATTGATTATAGTCAGTAACATAGAGAAGCCATCTAGTGCTATTAGCAACGAGCTGTTGTTGATTTTTAAACAAATAATTCCAACTAATAACCCGAGGTCTTGAAAACTAGACTATACTGAGATACATAGTAGTAGTAAAAGTTGTTCAGAATAGCTGACTTTATTAAAAACTGTTGTCAGATAAGGACGCCATGAAAAATCAGTATCGTGCCTAACGCATATTTATATATAATAGCATATATGCATATCCATAGTAAATTTTTGAAATCCTTTGACATATTGACATATTTTGCTTGAAGAAAAACAACTATTTTTGAACTCCAGTCTTATCACTAAGTATTAAATGAAATTGAATTACCCCTTTTTTATATATTTTTATAAAAATCCAGTTATAAGACTTACCTCCTCATTATCCTCGTAGATGAACACACAATTGACTTGTTCCACATGAGGTTGAGGGGAATTGACATCGACGTAACCATATTCGTAGTCGTAAGTTAACCAGTCCAACACTTTGGCATCTCGAACATTTGATTTGCCAAAAATTGTTGAATATTTAAAATTATGAAATTTTTGTTTATTACGATTTTTACTGTTTTTATCATTTTTAACGCCAACAACATTTGAGTGTTGTATGTTCGCATTGCTCTCTGCATCAGCAACAGCAACGATTTCAAGAGTTTTACTTTTTGCATTAATTTGCTGCACTTGCAATTCATGTTGTTGTTGCTGTTGTTGTTGTAGTTGTGTTTGATGTTTCTGCTGCTCTTTATGTTCTAAATGCTGTTGATGTTGTTGATGTTGGTGATGTTGGTGATGTTGTTCATGTTGTTGATGTTTCTGCTTTTGTGTTTGCAACAACCGCAAAAGTGGCAAGCCATGTTGTTCGGCATTTAACCTATTAGTAGAACTGTGGTTGGTATTATTAACATCAACGACATGATTTGCAGTTTGTAATGGGGCCGCGTATCGTTGTCGCTGCTCAATTAATTCGCAGTCATCCACCATTTTGCTATTGAACGCATTGGCAGCAACATTGTAAATCTCTGTCGTTGTCAATTGAGATGATTTGTTCTTCTTAGATGTTTGCAATATCTGCGATTGTTGCTGCCATTCCTCTTGCTGTTGCTGATTTTGCTGTGATGCTTGTTCATATTGTTCCTGTTCATTGTGGCCACAGCCAACCTTCTTACTGACGTAGTAATACTCACATAATTGATTTCCATGTTCATCCTTCAGTGCAATATATTCTGTACTTTCAGCGAATTTACTCCAAATTTGGTTGGCTGTTGCCAAATCCTTCTCGGATATTGCAATTGTTAGTAGCGATGGATGCTTTGAAACACACTTGCCCATAAGAGCAGCGTAACGTTGAAATGTCCTTGTTTCTGGTGGATTTCGAGTGTGTCGTTGCAGTTCTACTCACTGCTATTGTCGTTTAATTTTCTGTTACTGAAATCACCGTGATTTTTTGCTTTAATTGTGACGTTGTCAATGGTTTGTTTGCTAATGTTTGACTTCAAGTGTAAAATTCTTCACACTGCTAGCTTACAATCTTTTCAGTTTTCCAGCTTCTTCGATTTCATTTTTGGCGCCGGCACTGTTTCCACTTCTCGGTTTCTATTTTCACGTATGCAGTGTTGGCAACAGCAGCTCTGTAATTTACTCAGATAATTTGATAAGAAATACTAATGTACTAAGCTGTGGCTTGGTTTCTCGTTTTTTATTTTATTACTTGTGGTAATTTTTATTTGTCTTGTAAATATTGGCATTAGACTAGAATCTCTGCATTTTTGGGTCAACGTCAAGTGTCATGAGATATCTTTTTTATCTAAGAAATAAATGAAAAACGTAAAAAAATATTTTAATAATAGAAATATATAAAGAAAAAGTAAATTCAAAGACTGAAAAAAGTTATACGATTTACAACAAAAAAGCTTATTTAATTTTATTACTTTATTTAAATATGAAATTTATAAGCACATAATATATATATATGAATATTAAAGATCAGTTAGTCGGTACGTACCGTAGGAACTCAACTCAAAGCGAAATGTACCACCAACTATACCTATGTATTTAATAGGAATGAAATAAACAAAGTTCGCCGCTTTTATTTATTTCGTTCCTATCAAATACACAGGTATGGTTGCTTGTGCATTTCGCTTTGGTTTAGGTTCGCTTAAGTTCTTACGGCACGTTCCAACTAACTGAGCCTTTAGTCGTGTTTCAGCACACATTGATCTGGATCTTCTTTGCTGAAACAAAACGAATCATATGTGAAAGTATTCACAGTATTGTTCATAAAATTTTGTTTGAGTTTGTACGAATAATTTTGGCGATAAAAGAATAATTGAAAAAATTTTAAAAATAAAAAATACAAAATATGAAAAATAATAAAAAAATTTAAATTCTACTAAAATGTTTTTATTTATTATTTATTCACAATTTAACTTTAATTTCTGCAGTCAATAAATTAAAATTGGCGAATATATAGTAGAATAATCAACAACAGGAGGACATTCTTATAGAAAGTTTTCAAAGAATCCGATTAATCGGATAGCAAACAACATCTCCGCAGTTAAGAAAAAAATCGGATTTTTTTGTCAATCTGAAGTCTTCGAATATCCGGACTTGAAATATGACTCCAGCTGTTTACGTCAACTTATGACGAAAATATTTGATTTCTTCTAAGTTTAGCTGAAGTTTCAATACCGTTTGTTGAACTCCTCAACGCCAGGTATGCAGAGGCGTGTTTCTGTATTCATAGTATACCCCATTTTTGCAAATACGAAATAAAGATCTAATCAAGTCATGATAAATAACTATAGTCAATTACTAATAATAATATTGAATGCATAAAAAAGACAAAAAATTATTATAAATTAATGAAAATATTCATTTTATAAGTAAAATTGTCTCGATAATGAAGTTATTTACAAGTTTAGATACATAGTAGACAAAAAAATCATAGAATTGATATCAGAAAATTTTAACCCAATTACTGCTACCCCGTTTAAGTCCAACTTGATGTTCCTTAACTCATTGCTTATAGTATTGTATATATTATAAAATATTTTATCAAGATGTTACTAAGATATTTTTTTACATATATATATATATATATATATATATAAGATACTTTTTGGAAAATTTTTCGTCTGCTGATATAAACGCTACCCTCTATATTTTTACTGCTAATGCGAAAATTGTTGTTGACTTTTTCGTTGGGAATCATCATGAATTGCTGCTCCCATTGTTATTGTTATTGTTGTTGTAGCTGATGATTCACAATTAGCATTTTGTATCTAAGTTTTGCCTACTCCGATGAAGCGTCTGTGTTGACGTTTGTGCTAGAGAATTTCTTGAATAAACATCACGCATTTCTTAATGTCTCCGAAGTGCTGTTGATAATTTCTCCCCATTGAGTTATTTGCCACAGCAAAATGTATCTATTTATTGCATTAATTGCTATGCTGATGCCTCTAATAGTGCCTATGAATTGTTTGTTTTATGCTAATTTAAATGAATAACATTTCATCAAATTGCTAAAAATGACTTCAAATGCTAGAGTGTTTCCAAATATAATTGTGGAGCACATCTTAAAAGTTGTTCAGTATCTTTAAGTGCATAATATTTACTTAGTAACTTGGTAAGTACCAGTTATTGTTATAATAAGTTAACATAAAATTTAAATTATTGATTGTTTTAAATATTAAAGTATTAAACGTTTAATAAAATTAATCGGAAAATTTAATGAAAAAAGATGAAGTTTGTAAATACATATACATTTTTCCTGAAAATTTTTGCAAAATGTTATGCTTGAGTAGTTTAAGCTTTTAAATATCATATTTAAATATTAAACATTGAACACATAAACATTATATTGAGGTAACTGACTAATCAAGAACTCGAAAGTAAACGGATTTAGTTAAGAACAAGTTTTAAGAAGAAACATCTTACGAGTATTTTGACCAAATACAATACCAAACACCAATTATGCATAGTAACCCAAAAATATAACTACATAGCTGGGTTGTATTCTCGAGAGGCTTTCAAAAAACTCTTATTACCTAAATATTATCTAATTTTCAATTCTCATAACAACAAAATATACCATTCCAAATAAGACATGGAAGAGATAAACTGAAGTGATCGTATACCTAAAGCGATCGTCAGGCGTTATTGGAAATATAAAAATAAAATTAATCCTTTGGTATACAATAGAGTTCACAAAAAATTACTTGTAACGACGACTTAATGTTGTAAGTTGAATTTTTACACGCCTTTTATAATCTAAATAAAATACTATCCATAAAAATGGAATTTAAAAGCAGCTAAGGATATTGTAAGTTTTGTATTTAATACAAATTTAAGATAAAAATGTTCAATGTTTGATATATTTGAATTTGAACAAGAATTACATGTTCTGGTGGTCCAAAACCTAGAGTTTCTCATTAATACGGCAACACAGCAGACCAATAGACCTAAATGGATTCCCTTGGGAACACCGCTATAACCTAACCTAACCTAAAGTAACCTAAATGTTCAGTAAGTCAAGAATCTTTACAATACATTACATTATTTTCCGAAAATTCCGAACTATATGCACATATATCTGATTTCTTTTCGTTATGCTGACAATTTCTTTAGCTGTACGAATATTGAATTGAAAATTTTTTTAGTACTTGAACACATTTTGAAAATAATTATAAAATATAATTAATATATTAAGTCATTAAATAGTCAATTCACGAAAAAATTACATACCGATCTCTCTAGTCGTCAATCAAGTGTCTCTACTATCTAAACTTATTGTTCTATTCTTTCTTAAATCAATTATTCAGTAGTAAAAGGAAAGTTCCGTAAGCTTTTGGGACTGAGATATAATATGAAGAAGCGTATACCTGAGTATATGAGCATGTATACAAAGCAGTGATAAAGCTTTGTGCATCCCTGAAAAAACACATTCTCATGTTAATTGCTTTAAATCCCCAGGTCTAAAATTGTAAGTCTGACATTTGTTATCCTACTATTAAATAAAAACTTATAAACCAACTAATATTTTCAGAAGCATTAACAATAAGTACTTGGTAATAATATGGATAGGTATATGAGGTTTCGAATAGTACTAAATTGCAACAACAAACATTTTTATATATTTTTAATTAATTGATTTTTTTTTGCTGCCCTACAGCTGTCTTTAGTCTTATTATTCAAAATATTATTATTATAGTATATATGCTTATATGTTATATATGCTTTACTTTTATAATAATACTAAAGCATTATAATCTATTGTAGGCACAATGACTGCACAACTAAAACAGGCACGGTGTCTAACATATTATAGTGAAAACAAAGAAGAAGGAATTTGTAGTTTTTTAATGACAGTACTAGATACGTCATTAGTTATTTGGATAATATTATAATATATAATTGTATATTTAAAAACAGCTTGTTAATTTAGGAGTTTATTAAAATTAGGAGTTTATAAAGCCTTCAATAAAGTTTTTTTAGTTGATTGGTGCCACTGAATATGCTCGTATTAGTGATATAAAATTATCTTAACACTTCTCCTTAATGTTTGTTGCGTGTTACTTGCTACCGTTTTAAATTCATATTAATTCACAATTATTGCCAGGGATGTGTCTCGTTATCCTTGCACTTCGAAGTACATAAAACTACATGAGTTTATTAAATTTATGCATCCCCGCTGAAACTAAAGCAATCTCTAAGCGCGTGCTAACGTGACTCTTCCAATTTTTTTTTTTTTGTCTTTTTAGCCTTTTTGTATTTTAGCTAATATTTTACATATTTAGTCGGTTTTAGTATCTGTTAGCAAATGCTCACCGCCATGCTTATTTAACTCCACTAAAGCGAAGCAACAAATATGCATAGTAAACACAACATTTTGCTGAAATCCGCTGCTATTTTTTAACCCAGACCGCGTTTTATTTAATTGCCACATTACACCCAGTTGACACCCCTGGGTATCATAGCACCGCATATACATATGTATATATTTCTCTCCATATTTATCTGTACCTCACCGAGTTAGCCATACGTGTAGCTGCGTATGCATGTGGGCTTCGTGTGTTTGGATTTGTACACCGCATGACTTCTTGTTTGCGTTACTTTTTTATGCCACAATTTTTTACCACCGATTTCCATGTACGAGTACCAGTACCGGTACATGTACAAATAAACTCACATTTTGATTTTTTCCCCAGCTATTTTTTATGTGGTAAAAGTAAACGTTCTTATTAGTCGTTTTGTATTTATTTTTTCTTTTAATATTAAGCAATTTTTACTTGCAGGTAAATAGCGCAATTTTTATTCCCTGTTTTTCCAGCGACTTTTTTTCTACTTTATTTTTCATCATTATTTACCATAATCAGTCTAATTTACTCCATAGGTGTTCTGTAGGGAATATGGCTTTGTATTGTTTTTTTTTGTTTTTTTTGTGTGTTTTTTATGTGTTTTTTCTATTTATATATACACAAATATATAAATACAAATGTATAATAAATCCGTTCTTCCAAATGTACCCGGGTAGATACTCGTACTTGTGCACTCTGGAATGCTCCTATTTAACCTGGTAATGGATTATGAAATTATGACGCCGCAAGGAAGCATAATATTTTCATTTGTCATGAGATATTTTTTATTTATTTATTAAAATGTATTTTAATTTTTATATTAAAATATGTACTTTACAAATGAAAGAGTCTGTACATTGAATAAAATTATGAATCCATAAAGAATAAAATTTGATACATATTTCTTCATAATTTAGAGTAAGCAACGTACTTTGTTTAAATGT